CTGCCTGATCCCTGCCAGGTGGAGCGGCCTTTCCCAAATCTTTCCCTGTAAGATGCTACCCAGACAGGTTCAGTCATCAGTGAGCAGCCAGTGCTGCATCCAGGAGCTCCTCCTGGTAAGGGTAACATTAGCCCCCTAAAGGCAAAGGCTGCCCCGTCATAGAACATCAAACAAAATAATCTCCAGCACATCACATATATTTATACTTTCTTCTTTTTTTTTAATCCTTACCTGAGGATATGTTATTATTGATTTAGGAAAGAGAGGAAGGGAGAGAAAGAGAGAGAAACATCAATGTGAGAGAGAAACATTGATCAGTTGCCTCCCGTACACACCCAACCAGGGATCGAACCCATAACCCAGACATGTGCCCTGATCAGGAATCGAACCATCAACCTTTGGTGCACAGGACAACACAACCAACTGAGCTAGCAGGCCAAGACTATACTTTATTCTTTAAGTGACAGTAACACCTTTTGGAAAGCACCATTATAGACCAGAGTTGTTTTTGCTGTGGGAGGAGTGTGTGTACTTGTGTGTAGGTTGCTTGTGGTCTTCTTACCTGCCATCTGCCATAGCAGGTGAGGGACTGACACCTCTGGGCTTGTTCAGCTCCTCCCTGGAACAAGAAGCCTCTCACCTGTCCTTCTGCCTCGCCCTCCAGCGCCTGGAGGCCCAGAGCACAGGTAGGTGGGATGCTGCAAGTGAGTGCATGGCCCCCAGCTGGCCGTGCAGCTGTCTGTCACAGCAGAGCCTGCCCCAGACCTCCGGAGTGGTGGACCCCCAGTGGCACTGGCTCCAGATGCTCAGCAGATGCCAGGCCTGGGACTAAGGCCTCGTCTCCAAGGGCTTGGCTTGCTGTTCTGGAAGGTGATCCTGGCTGGCAGCCATTCCTGAGCCCCTATTTAGAGCAGTTGTCAGGCAGTTGCTGAGTTCCAGCTCCCCCACCCCCACCCCCCAGCAGGACTGAGTGATCTCATGCTTGTGCCATGCTGGGAGAAGGGGAGGGGAGGGGTTATGATCAGGGCAGCGTTCAGGGCTCCATCCCCACTCAGGCTCCCAAGCCCCAGTGTGTGCAGTTTGCTCTCAGCAGTGCGTCCTAACCACCCAGAACAGCTTGGGGCATCGTCTAAGGCCTGGCTGCAGGTCTTTGTGTGCAGCACTGCCCCTCAAACACGGAAGGAGATCAGGGTGAAGGGGTGCTTGCTGATGAGGTCAGATGCCAGAGCTCCTCTTGTAATCACCCTCTTTCCCTGGCTGAGTGCAACCCTTAGCCCCAGAGCTGGCTTTGATGAAGGAAAAAACACTGAATGGGAGCCCGGAGCCCCTGGACCTTGGGCTGCAGGGCTGCAGCTTATAAACGAAGGCTCTTCCCTGCCCAGAAGTTCCTGGGTTCTAAGCTGCTCCTGCCACGTCCCAGGCCCTGTGGAAGGAAGATGTTGGGGGCCCCCTGCCGGTCCTTCCAGGGAACTGATCCTGATGCGAGGGGCTTTTGCTGGCCCTAGAGGAGCGCTGTGACACACCCCAGGCCAGACCAGTTCTCCTTCCCGTGGTCCCTGGCCAAATTTTTGACAGTGAACCCTGAACTCTGGAATCTGGTAGTTGGCTGCCTGGCTTTTCTTGGCCTTTCTGTTCTTGCATTCCATGGAGACCCAGTTCCATCTGCGCTGCGCCCCTCCCAGCCATCACAGGGCTTTACCACCTTGGCACTCCAGGCCCCGCTCCTGCTTTCTCATGCTTACTCGTGGCAGGTTCTCTTTACCCCTCCCTCTCCCACCTGCTGATGGGAAGGATTTTAAGGACAGGTTGTGGGGAAATGGTCCCTGCAGCTGTCCTAAAACACTAATGAGCCATGGCGGCACTGAGAGAACCGGGCTTATTGCTGCTGCACTTCCTCCAATTTGATGACATTGACGGTTTTCTGGGATGAATGCTTGATATCAGCGAACTGATTTGGAGAGGATCCCACAGGCTGCCCTCCTAACTCCTGCCACTCTGTTGTGAGGGAGGGGCTAAGATGCTCAAAGAGAATTGGAAACCCCCCCCCCAGGCACCAAGGACCTAAGTTCAGCCCCTGCATCCAAAGCTTCGCCAGACTTTTCTCTCAAAGTCAATAAGAGCACACCTGTTTTTCTCTCACCAGCCTCAGGTGACTCACAGCACTGTACTGGGGGTCCAGGGAGAACAGCTAATGAGGTCACAGGGAGCAGCTTGACTGGGGTCTGTTGTCACTGCCTGGGGCTTTGGACATTGGCCCCACTCTCCCCCTCCCTTCCCTCCTGTTCTCCTTACCTAAGACCTTGAGGGGTGAGGCAGGAACAGCTCTGCCCGGGGAGGCTGCCCAGGCATTCAGTTTCTTTGACCCAGGCGGGGAGAGCAGAGTGGGGGACAGGCAGAAGCTGCCCCAGCTCAGCTCGACTACTCTGCCCTGCAGCCCTGTTGTGGGGACATGCTGCCCCCTGCTGGCCATGCTGGCAAAATGCAGCCCAAAGTCTTCACCCTAGCCTGCTGCTGGGCTGAAGCCTGGGGGCTCTGAAGAACACATGTGCCCCTGCCCACAACGATTCTCAGACTGCGTGGGGAGACAAGTCTAGAACTGCCTGGCACACAGTAATGTTTGTTGAGGGGACAAACGAATGAACGAATGGATGCATCTGAAGCATTTAGCTGATGGTGGCCTGCAGTGTCTGACCAAGAGCAGACAATCATTCCAGTCAGACATTTATTGAGCAGGAACTGATACTCGTGTTGACAAGATCTAAATAAGAAAACCAAACATTGGTTAGATTATGCTGGACTGTCACACAGGTGAGCGTAGAGCAGCCTGGGCCTTCCGGGAAGGCATGGAAAGGGCGAGGAAGGGGGACAGATGTCAGGGATGAAAATCACAGGGCACTCTGGCCACTTGGCAGGGAAGGCAGGGAGAGAGGAAACACCTCTCGTGTCTTGAGCCTGAGGATGGGGCAGGCACAGGGTTGGTCTTCCCAGCCACCCTGCAAAGCTGCTATTTATCCATGTTCCTGTTCTACATTTGAGAAAAAGGAGGGTCAGAGGAGGCCTGTGACTTGTTCAGGGTCCTACAGCAAGATCATGTGGAACCTGGTCCAGACCTCATCTGAGGAGGTTTTTGGTCGTTGGGTTCAGGTGCTTGAACTCAAAGGTTTTCCACAGGAAGTAATGTGCTAAAGGACAGATGGGGGAGGGGAAGGGTCAGAATGGCCACTTTAAACGTTGTTAGGGCCTCCCGGTGGGAATGAAGAAACTCCTCATTCCCCACACTGGCTTCCTGCATGGTACATGGGCCAGCAGAGGTCCGAGCCAGCGTCCTACACCCAGGCTGTATCCTTCCCCCATGGTGGGCAGGTCCAAAGCAGCCCTGTGGAGGAGGGGCTAGGAGTGCAGGACTTGTAAGGAGGGCTCTGGGAGAGACAGATGTGCTGGTGGGACAGCTTGGTAAACCAGAGCCACACTTCTGCTGAGGCTGGCTCAGTCTGGGGGAGGAGGAGCTTTACACACTCATGCCCCACCCTCACCCCCTCCCGTCACTGGCTACTTTTCTATCTTTTTTATTTTATTTTTTTTAGAGTATGTTTATTAAAGCTGGGCACAATGAAAGAGAAAGGACTTAGGATAGAAGAAGCTACAGGAGAGAGCCTAGGCTGGGCTGCTTTGGCTCTCAGAAATGTTATAGGAAAGAAATGAGCCTAGGCTGTGCTGTTGTTAGCTCACTGCAAAGTCAGAGAAAAGGGGTCCTTGGAGACAGGTTCATGGGGTGAGCCCAGGGCGAGCTGCCGCTGCCCATTGCTCCCCTGGTTATAAGTCTCATGGAGACCCTTAGAGTTTAGGAGATGCACACCTGAGAGGGAAGAAAGGTGTGGGTGTGCTCTCGGGAAGGAGAGCACACCTGGCTACTTTTCTTTCCTAGAGCTTGGTGAGGTGACAAGGCTAACCCTGCGGCACTACCCACATCTCCAGAAAGGGAAGTTCATGCTGGGCCTCCAGCTACTGCCCGACCTGCCGGAGCTTCCTCTCTGACCTCCGCCTTGGTGGGAGAAGCACAGGCTTGACTTGCAGACTGGGGTTCAGGTTAAAGACGGGAGTCTTTTCTATCCTGAGCAAGACTTTCCCCACTCGGGGCACCCTGGCCACCATGGCACCAGGACGTGGCTGAGCCTCCTTCCCAGAGGCCTCAGCTCTTGTGCACATGTGTGATCTATGGGGGCCCCAGGTGGGAGAGCAGCACGTAGGCTGCCCTAGATTGGGGGCATGCTCAGGCCTCTGTGACCCAGCTCCCCACTGTGTCTGACCTCTCAGTTCTGATGCACTTCCTCCATCCGTCAGCCCCCTTCCTTCCTGTGTTCTCTGCGAGCCATATCTCTTCCTCCTTGTTGCTAATCCTAAGTACACTAAGTGAGCAGAACTAGAGTGCTGACTCCTAGGAGGCTGACTGTGGGGTTTGAACACCCCAACAGCACTTTTGCCTTGTCCCAGGCTGTGTGATGTCACTCTTGCTGCCTGAGACTCTCCGTTCATCCTCAGAAACCCTCATCTCCCTGGGGAGGGAGGGAGCCCAGCACTTCTGGGAACAGGGAGTCCTTTGGGTTCTTGGGGCACATTGTTTTCTTATAGCTTGGGGTGCCCCTGAGTGTCCTAAGAGGCTAGTCACTCAGCAGAATATTTTTTGAGCACCTGCTGTGGGTCAGGTGGGGTGCCAAGCCCCGGGCAGCGAGAGAATGAGACAGACCCTGTGCCTGCTCTCCAGGAGCCCCATCTAGTAGGGGAGACAGCGCACAAGCTGACACTGCAGAGGGGTCATGCGGACTGACTGACTAGTGCTTGAGGGTGTGAGCAGGGGTAAGAGAAAGCAACTTGAGGAAGGAAATAGGTTGGATGGTGGGAGGGTATCTCTAGGCTGAGAATGAGGGTGCAAGAGAGCCAGCCAGCAGAGCAGCTGGGACAGAAAGAATGGGCAGGGCCCCTGACCGATTCCTCCCCTGCAGGCTTGTGGAGGAGTTCATGCTCTTGGCCAACATGGCAGTGGCCCACAAAATCTACCGCACCTTCCCTGAGAGGGCGCTGCTGCGCCGGCACCCCCCTCCGCAAACCAAGATGCTCAATGACCTGGTGGAATTCTGTGACCAGATGGGGCTGCCTATGGACTTCACCTCCTCTGGGGCCCTCAATGTGAGTGCCCGGGAGCTGAGGGGGGGGGGG